GTTGGACAAATTCAAGTCTTACAAGGAACATTGAAAAGTAGGATTGTCCCACATAATATCAAAGGACACAGGAACTGACTTGAAAGGACTCCTGCTGGTCAAACTTGTGACAATGTGAGCATCAGAAAGAAAGAGAAATGAAAATATACACCATAAAAACTTGTATAAGTAGCTTTATTCATAATAGCTCCAAACTACAAATAACTCAAGTATCCATCAACAGGAGACTGGATAAACAAATTGTGCATATTTATACAATGAAATACTTCCAGGCAGTAAAAAGTGGAACTGACACATGGAACAATGTGGATGAATCTCAGAAACATTATGCGGAGTGAAAGCTAGATTCGAAAGACTACCATACTGCATGTTTCCATTTCCATAAAGTTCTAGAGCAGTCAAGACCATTCTGTAAAGAACAAAATCAGGACATTGCTTGCCTGGGGCATGGGAGTTGACTGAGAAGGGGCCTGAGGAAACTTTCTGGATGATAGAAATGTTCTGTTAGGGTATTGCTTACACAGGCATATAAACCTATGTCAAATTCATCAAATTCATCAAATTCAACAGGTAAGGCCTGTGCATTTCATTGTCGGTAAGTGATAACCTAACCAACCAAAGGAAAATAGATTAACAACAGTTAAGGATTATAACACATTAACTAAAAAAGAATCCATGCGTCCATAATGATTTCTCAGATTAAAAGGCAATGCGCTTTTTTTTTTTTTTTTAGGCGATTATAATCTAATAAAAGTGAAGAATGATAGAATTAGAAAATTCCTGTTTTGCAACCACTGCATAGTAATAAAAGGATCATTAAAGGAGAAATGACATTGAAAAACAATGCAGAATCCTTGATTGAATCCTTGGGTGTGTGTGTGTGTGTGTGTGTGTGTGTGTGTTAAGACTGTAGGAGATATTCTGGGGGCAGTTACAGACATTTGACAGTAATATATCAATATTAGATTTCTTGTGTGTGATGGTATCATGGTTAATAGGAGCATAACCTTGTTCTTAGGAGATACTTGCTGACTTATTGGGGTGAAGTGTCATGATATCTGTAATTTACTTTTAAATGGCTTAGCAAAAAAATTGATATATATATATATATAGATATAGATCTATGTGTACACACAAAGAGTAGATAAAGACAAAACAATGTTAACAACTGGTGAGTCTAAGCAAGGAATATATAAGTATTCAGAGTATTATTCTTTCAATTTTTCTGTAGATTTGAAAAAAGTTCCTCATAAAAACTGAGGGAAAGTAAGACAATGAAATTAAGTGCTTGGCCAATGGTAAGTGCTCAGTGAAGTTTGGAGTATATTCTCCAGGAGGGCAGGGGCTTTCGTTTGGCCCTGTATCCCTAACCCCTGCAACAGTGCCATGTATGATGATACTCAACAAACACTTTTTAAAAAATATATTTTATTGATTTTGTACAGAGAGGAAGGGAGAGAGACAGAGAGTTAGAAACATCGATGAGAGAGAGTCATCAATCAGCTGCCTCTTGCACACCCCCCACTGGAGATATGCCCGCAACCAAGGTACATGCCCTTGACCGGAATCGAACCCGGGTCCCTTCAGTCCCCAAGCCGATGCTCTATCCATTGAGCCAAACCGGTTTCATCTCAACAAACATTTTGAAACAAATCCTTGAGAAGTTGTACATTAGAAATATAATGTGAAAAAAATCTAATTGTACAAAGTAACACCACAGAATGATACATGGTTACATGTGACAGTTGTTTCTATGGTCTATTCACACTGTTACTTTGAAGGTTGCTTTTTTTATTTATTTATTTTTATTTTTTTACAGAGAGGAAGGGTGTGGGATAGAGAGCTAGAAACATCAATGAGAAAGAAACATTGATCAGCTGCCTCCTGTACACCCCCCACCGGGGATGTGCCCACAACCAAGGTACATGCCCTTGACCGGAAACTAATCTGGGACCTTTCAGTCCGCAGGCCGACGCTCTGTCCACTGAGCCAAACTGGTTTTGGCTGTGACCATTGCTTTGATTAAAATGGCTTTTCTATGATTAGAAAAGTGATTTTAAAAAATTTGCACTTGATAATTCATCTGCTCAACTGAGTTCAGCAAGTCATTTACAAGAAGCAATGCACTCTAACATCATTGTGTTTGGTTTAGCCACTTGAGATTATTGTGTGTGTGTGGGGAGGGGGGGCGAGGATTAGTCAATTTTGGAGTTTCATTTTTTTCACTATTGCTGACATCCACTGGCCTCTTATGGGAGGGGTACTATGCCCTCTGGTGGTGAGAGGCACTCATTTCTATGGAAAAGGTCCGCAGGACAGAGATGAAGTGGCAAAGAGTGCCCTTTACCCAGAGGTTTCTGGGTAAATAGCTCCTTATTTGCTAGTCACATAGTGACCTTCACGACTGAGTTTGACGTAAAAATTTTTGACTCAGTGAATAGCCATCTTTGGGGAATTGTCTGGGCCAGGCTGGACTGAGGAAGTTATAAATTTAGGAATGGAAAGTGGTATCTGTAGTTGGGTCAAAGCTGAGATGGGAAGACTTGTCCCCAGCATGAGTCCCAAGAGATACATGGGGGGCATATGAACTGTAAGATTTGTCAGGATCCTGTCTTCCGCTGTGACAAGGCTGAAAGCATACGCCACCATATGCCCCAGGATGAGCTCTGATCGCAATCCTGGGCCTGCAATTGCCCAGAGAAGGCTGGCTGCTGTCCAGACAGCTCATCAATGATCAGCTTTGTATTCCTGGAAACACTTTCCCCCCCGCTTTCTTTCCTCTTAATTTCTAACATTAAAACACCTTTTTCCCAAGTGTAAAAAATGTTATGTGGTCTATATAAAAATATGAAAAATATTAATGAGGTAAAAATCACATGAAATCTGTTTACATCAAGCATGTCAACTCAAAGGCTAACACAGGCTAAATAAACAAGGTTTAAGTTTATGTGGACTGCAAAAAAGAGAAAAGCTTCAATTTTCATAGAAAGGTAGGTTTATTTCGATAGAGACATGCTGAATGCAAATGAGTAATCATTAACAAAAATATAATAGAACATTTTAATAAAAATTAATATTTTTTCTTGAACATTAACTTATCAGACACTAAATAACATCACAAATTAATACGTATAATGCAAATAAACCTATTTTTTCTGTTCTCTGAAAACAAAATATTTCTATTGCACACACCAAACAAGTCAATATAAGACTAATGATGTGGCAATCGGCTGATAAAATATTCACTGCTAGTATTAGTCGAAAGAAATGGTGTGCCTGCACATAAGGCGCATAAGGAAAATGAATGCAACAGGATTATAGTAAACAGTCATTAGTGAACATTGTGGTTTGTTATTAATAATTATGTATAACAAGATATTGTAAAAATTAAGTTACAAAACTTTTATTAAAACATTTATTACGTACTGTTATATTGGCTGGGCCGCAAAAATATTCGCTGTGGGCCACATGCGGCTCATGAGTTTGACATGCTTGATGTACATTGTGATAACTTCAGTTGACATTTTGATGACTTTTCTTTCAGGTAATTCTGTACATATAACCACATAGAGTAAGAAAGTCTAATTATACATTAATGAGATCATAACAAATTTATTCCTTTATAACTTGCTTTGTTTTTATTTCATGTGTGGTGAGTATCTTTCTATCTAGGTATAGATATATAATTTATATTTTTAAATTGTTCAAGTTATATATGCTTACAGTAAAATGCAAATAATAGTGTAAAAGTTAGGAAATGAACATTTCCCCCACCTACTAATTCCATTCCTCCATAGTAATTGCTTTAACTATTTTGTGCATAATTTTCAGACTTTGTAATGTGGATATAAATTTGTAAGTAGAATCTGGCTGCTGTGGCTCAATGGCTGAATATTGAGCTATGAACCAAGAGGCCATGGTTCTGTTCTTGGTCAGGGCACATGCCTGGGTTACGGCTGGATCCCCAGTAGAGGGTGTGCATGAGGCAGTGATTCTCTGTCATCATTGATGTTTCTATCTTTCTCCCTCTTCCTTCTTCTCTCTAAAACCAATAAAAATATTTTTTTAAAAATTTATATAAGTAGATAATTTTTATATAAACTGGATTACACGGCACATGTTGGTTTTCCATGAGTTTTTTGTTTTTTTGTTTTTTTAATTTAACTGCGTCAGGAACATTTCCCCATATCAGAGTGTGTGCATGTAATATTTCTTTTAGTGACTGCATAGTATTCTACAGTATAAATGAGCCATGGTTCATTTAACCGGCCACCTATTGATGAATATTGAGGTTATTTTTAGTATATTGATATATAAAAACCTCGCTGAATAGTCAAGTTCCCTCTGACAGAATATGACGTCGCAATTTACCAATCCCTTTCCCTTCCATTATTTCGTTTAACTTCATTGCAACCTACCCAGTTTCAAATTTGCCCAGTTATTGTGCGTTTATTTATGTATGGACTTGCAGTCTTCCCGTGTAACCTGCATTTCCAGTCAGGATATCTAGTCAGTCTGCTCTGCGCACTACTGTATTGCCAATGACCCGCTTAGTGCCAGGTGCAAAGCAGGCCCCTGAGAACTATTTATTGGCTCCACAGGCTCCCAATAAACTACTCATTGAATGAAATTGCACAGGGAGTCGAGATCGGCGGATAGACCGGGAGGAATTACATGAGGCTTGATTCCTGGCCTGGAGCCCAGATCTTTCCCCGGCCAGTTGGCTGTAACGTCCCCAAACAGATAAGAAATGGGAGCGTGCGCAAGCAGGACTCGTCGTAGGCCTGGGGGACCTCGCCACCGAAATGTCGCACCCAAGGGCCCCACAAGCAACTGAGGCAGCCAAGTTCTCAACGCACCTGCCCCGCCTGAAACCAAGACTACATTACCCAGCAGCCCCCGCGGCGCGCACAGTGCCTGCCACGCGGCTTGTGCCTCCACCGACGGCCCGCTGGAGGCGCTGCGGCGACCCCTCTGCCGCCCCGTAGAAATCTCCGCGGCCCTGGGGCCGCTTGCTTCCTGTTTGTCCGACGAGGAGACATGGCGGCGGCGCCGGCGGCGGCTGGGTCTGGGGCCGGCCGAGGGCGACGGGCGGCGGCCACGGTGGCTGCTTGGGGCGGATGGGGCGGCCGGCCGCGGCCCGTCAACATCCTGCTGCAGCTGCGGCAGGGCCAGCTGACCGGCCGGGGCCTGGTCCGGGCCGTGCAGGTACGAAGCCGGCCCGGAGGGGCGGGGAGGGGCGGGGCGGACCGGGCGGGAGCTGGCGAGGGGCCGGGGCAGAGGCCTTTCCGGCCGCCGCTGGACGGGCCCGACCCCCTCGGCCGGCCGCGGGGTCTCCCCGCGGGTTGCACGCACGCTGTCAGCCGCGGCGGGTGGCGGGCACCGGCCGTCTCCAGGCCCTCGGTTCGGGGCCGAGCGGGGCCGGGCTGCATCGTGCCCCGATGGCGTGTGCGAGCCCGGGGCCTGCGGCTGGGTCTTGCCTGCTTTGCGCCACGTCCGCACGTCTGGGGGACTCGGGGCGAGTTGGCTTCCGCCTTGTGAATTGACCGGGGCGGCCCGTGGTCATGTCCGCCCCTAAACGTGTCTTAAGTTTGTCATTGTGTCATTCTCTCAGAGGCCTTTCCTGGACCCCCCCCCCCCCCAACCCAAGTAAGCCCTCATTGTTATTCAGGCACAGTCCCGAGTGTGTTTCGTTCACATCACTTTCCTAGTGTGTGATTGCATATTTCTTTGTTGTCTACCCCGTGTTTCTCACCGGTATCTCACATTATTAGGCTCTGCTCCAGCGGGTGCAGGGACTGGATCTGTTTTGCCAAGGTTAGTGTCATGGTTAAGAGTGGTGTCAGGCCTGGATTTCGAAGCCCCTGCTGCTCTCTCTTGCTCGGACAACTTAGCTTCTCTGCCTCAGTTTCCCCATTTGTAAAGTGGAGATAATAATTAGGAACCTATCCCAAGGTGTTGTGGGGGTCGGAGGGGAGTGTATTGTGTAAAGCATTAAATGCGTTTCCGGTGCATAGTAAGGGTACAAGGGTAAACAGTTAATATTAATGCTATATTTGGTATCTGGTTTATAATAGGCGCCCAACATGTGATTATTCCTGTTTTTTTAATGAACGAAGGCCATTGCTTTAAGTTTAGGTTAAAGCAGGATGAATGACTTATACTCCTCGCTCCTGCCCATCCTCCTCCGCGTTCCTAGTACTTAAATTGTAAACACACCTGTGCAACATTAACTTAATTTAAAGACAGCTCTTGCATAAAGAAACTTTTTAACAAATATATTTTTAAAATTGATTTGAGAGAGGAATGGAGAGGGAGAGAGGGTTAGAAACATCAATGATGAGAATCATTGATTGGTCGCTTTCTGCACACCCCTCACTGGGGATCAACCTGGCACGTGCCCTTAATTGGAATTGCACCTGGGACCCTCCAGTCCGCAGGCTGATGCTCTATCCACTGAGCCAAACCAGGGCAATAAAGAAACCTTTGAAGGACACACACAAAAGTAATAAAGTGGTGGGAGTGGTGGCAATTGTGTAGATGGAGAGAATATGGGAGTGAGACTTTCTACGGTGTAACCTTATATGTGCACGTTAATCTCGAGCCATTTTAGTATTGTTTACTCAAGATGAGAAGGACAGAATAAAAGAAAGACAAGGTGGTCAGTTTGTATGGAGGTTCACAGATGAAGCAGTTCTGGGGGAGCAGTATTTTCCTGCACATGGGGATAAGCATAGATGAGCAACTTTTTCCCGCTGGCATTCTTCTCTCTCTGCCTTCAGAAGATCCTGGAAATACTTGCTCTATCCTTCTTTAGACCAAAGTGCCTTACTGAGCTGGGTCTTAGGGACAGGCAGAAAGGCAGCTAACTCACCATTACTGATCAGATACTTTGGCTCAAGTATTGTGCAAGGTATACAGTGTTGTTATTTAATCCTCAGTTGGGTTTTTTTTTGCGTTTTTTTTTTAAAATATATTTTATTGATTTTTTACAGAGAGGAAAGGAGAGAGAGAGAGAGCTAGAAATGTCGATGAGAGAGAAAAACATCGACCAGCTGCCTCTTGCACACCCCCTACCGGGGATGTGCCCGCAACCAACGTACCTGCCCTTGACCGGAATCGAACCCGAGACCTTTCAGTCCGCAGACCAACGCTCTACCACTGAGCCAAACCAGCTTTGGCTAATCTTCAGGGGTTTTTTTTAATTCAATGTCTCAACTCATCCCTTAACACAGATGAGAAAGCTAAGACAGTGAAAGGTTAGATACTTTGCTCCTAAACACAGTCCTCTGTTCTGAGGGCAATAGAGAGGCATGAGAGTTCTTAAGCAGAGTGACTGGGGCAGTTTAGGACACTTAATTTGTTTTCAGTGTTGGATTATTTGGAATGGAAGGAGACTGGAGGAGTTCACCGGAGAGAAGGCTTCTGGAGTATTGGTGTAGGCTGACGGTTGTGATGATACAGTGTACAGGTCTGGAGGTGCAGATGGAGACACCTTCCCAGAACTGTAGTGAGGATCAGGTGGGGACCTTCATCTTTCAGATGTATCCTTTTCTGGTAACTTTTCTTGATTTCTTCTTTGCCACACCTCTCACCCTTTCTCCCCCATATTGCAGAATAAATTAGTTTTGTAAAGGTATTTCTTTTCTTTTGTAAATCTTCACCAGAGAATATGTTTTCCACTGATTCTAGAGACTGAGGGAGGGAAGACGGGAGGGAGGGAACCATCTGTGTGAGAGAGAAACCTCAGTTGGTTGCCTCCCTGTGTTCACCACAACCTCGCCCTGACTGGGAATCAAACCAGCCTGGGTGTATGCTCTGACTGGGAGTCAAACCGAGACCCTTTGGGGCACAGGACGATGCTCTAACCAGCTGAGCCACACTGACCAGGGCCTTGCAGGTATTGCTATAGTACAGTAAGCATATCCATTATGGCATGAGCTATAATGGGAAAGACCAGATTTAAAAAAAACTTTTTTAATTGTGATATATAAAAAAAAAAAACATAACACGTTCTTAGCCATTTTTAGGTGTATAGTTCAGTAGTGTTAAGTATATTCACATTGTTGTGAAACAGATCGCCAGAATTTTTTCATCTTGAAAATCTGAAGTTCTAGCCCTAGACGGTTTGGCTCAGTGGGTATAATAGAACGTCAGCATGCAGGACTGAAGGGTCCCGGTTCTATTCTGATGGAGGGCACATGCCCAGGTTGCAGGCTCAGTCACCTGCAGGAGGCAGCCAATCAGTAATTCTCATCATTGATGTTTCTGTCTCTCTTTCCCTCTCCCTTCCTCTCTGAAATCAGTAAAAATATATTAAAAAAAAAAAAGAAAATCTGAAATTCTAAACCCAGTAGACAACCCTCCCTTATACCCCTTCAACCACCACTCAACTTTCTGTTTCTGTGAATTTGAATATTTAGATAACTCATGTGAGTGGAATCATTCACTTAGAATAATGTCCTTAAGGTTCACCCACGTTGTAACATGTAATAGGAAATCATTGGAAAAAAACAGGTTTTCAAGGTGGACCTGGATTGAACACTAGTTCTGTCATTCACTAGTTGAGTGACCTATGGTGTATTATTTAACCTCAGTTTCCTTATTTCTAAAATGGCAATAACATCTACCTCCTAGTGTTGTTAGGAGGATTAAGTGCAATGATATGTCTAAAACGCTTGGCAAGTGTGTGGCACATAATAGATGTTTATTCAAAGTTGCTGTCAACCTGCAGCTCTTATCTTCTTGAGGGACTTTGTCTTATTTTTCTTTACATCCACAGAGACCGAAATGGTGCCAGGCACTTGATAGGGACTCAGGTCTCAGTAAATTGTTTGATGGCATGGTCTTCCTCCTCCTCAGTCATGCTCTCTCTGTACTCCCGAACAGTTCAGTGGCTTTAAAGAAATCAGATAACTTACGTTTGAATCCCAGCTCTGGCTCATGCTTGCTATGTGTCTCTGGGCAAGTTACTTAATTTCTTTATATCTCAGTTTGTTCATTTTAAAATAAGGACAGTCATGGGGCTAATCTGTTAAGGTTAGGAACAAGTGAATTAGTACATATAAAGCACCTAAATAGTGTCTGAAACACAGTAAGCATGCTGTAAAGGTTAGTGAGTATTGTTTTTAATAAGTACTCTATATTCTGATGGATCCTAATTCTATATTTCCATCCTAATATCTCCACTTCTACTCCAGATGGGTATATCCAAATACCTTCTCACCATCTCCATTTAGATATCTAATGGACATCTCAAACTTAATATGTCAAAAATAATATTCCCGATTCCTCTTCCACTGAACCTGATCTTCCTTCCCCAAGTCTTGCCCGTTTCCCTAAATGGGGCTTAAAAGAAGCCTAGGAGAGACGCCTGGTCACCTGGTTTAGAATAGGCCTGTCCTACTTAGGCTTTAGTGTGCCTTATTTCCATCTCCCTTTCAATCTGTCCTCTGTTCAGGTAATAAAATACGCTGGTATATGCTTCAGCATTTACAGGGCTTATTCACACTTCTCAGCACATTTGATCCATAAAGCAAATCAGATCCTCCAATGCCATCTCATTGCAGTTAGAATCAAATTTACATTTCTTACCTACAACCCCTAGAGATACTGCTTCAGATACTCCTGGGTTATAACATCCTTGTTCTGTCTTCCAGTCATTATTTTTTAAATGATCATTGGCATATCAAAATTCTTGTTTTCCTGAGTGTTAATTACTTCATACTTTTTTACTTCGATGGAGTCCTCGCTTTAAACAATCAGTAGGAGCTGCTTGTTTTACCGTTATTCTATAAGCATTAGTGTTTGTGAAACCTTAGGGTTTAAGTCAAATATAGTCTTCAGGGGAAGGTAATTTGATACTGAAAAAACTCTGAATAGAATAAATTCTCATAAATTAAAAATATAAATAAATACCATTAATCTTAATAGGAAGTTTTTGTATTCACAGGCCATAAAATTTATTTCTAATTATATTGAAACAAAACAAATCCTATTAAAATGGACACAAGTAATCATTGGTTCCCATTTGTTACCAGAATAACCTAACAAACTATTTAATCTTCATTAATTATCCTTTAAGATGGGTATTTCCTTGCACTTAATATGGTATTTTGAGGTTTAGATATCTTACACTTAGGATTAAACAATGTACATTGGTGTATATAGAATTCAGCCTTTAATTATTTTAAAAGAAAAGTGCAGTA